TACAGCTCTTATCGGTAGCGGCAATGGCGGTACCATCGCTGCCCCCCTACAGCACCACACTCGTCACGGCATCATCATTGTCCCGCATGAGTGACGTCATACAGGCGCCCCCTACTCAAGTCACTACAGCTCTCATTGACAGCGGCAAAGGCGGCATTATCACTGCCCCTAATCTGCGCGAATCTCCCACTACCACTGCGAGTTCATAACTACGAGTAGGAGAATCAAGCACCAAGCCATTAAGAATACACTTACAGGATTCTTGTCGCTCACATTAATTGAAGAAACTCTCATCTATTCATTGTATCACACATTCAATCCTACCTCAATAGACCACTGACTATTTATTATACTATTATATTCAATAAAGGAAAAAACACTACACTCAAAGGTAGTGTTGAATTATTGCATTGTCCCTTCCACTTGCCAGCAAGCCTCCACCCACCATCTCAAGGAGGCTTTTAGTCTGATCCCAGACAGATGTACTTATTTAAAACGTTTATTCCATTATTGTATTAGTGTTGTACTTATTTAAAATGTTTATAACTTGTCTTATTAATATTGTACTAAGTTTTATAAGCAGTTCGTAGTAACTTACATAGGAGTTCCATATAATACCATATTAAATTTACATACAACTTCTCTGGAAAAGTGCTTTTTTCACAACTCGAAAGTTTTTTATTTCTTGTCTGTACACAATAGCAAGTAATCATTAACATGTCTTCGAGAATGCGAGAACCTTTTCCTTTTTTTGTCAGTGCAATAAAACATCTAGCAAGTAACATCGTAAAAATTGAATTTAGATTTCAAATTTTCGCTTGCTCAAAATTATCAAGCACTAGTGTCATAAAACATCTGGAAAAACAATACTATAAACCCATAGTTAGACATCTGCATTTTCGTTCCGCTTGGTACCTACTTCAAGCATTACTGTAAGCGGACCTTCCTTCCCCTTCCCGCTGTCTACAAGTTGCATATGCTGTCGCATGCGGCAGCAGCAACGAGAGGTCTGCTTGTCGTGAAGACAAGAGACGACTAGGCCCTTAATTAACTCCGAAGCCACCAGAGGCGCTGCCCTCGCACTATAAAGGAGGAGTCTCTGATTGGACAGAAAATAAGGGAAGGGGTTCAAGTCAACTTCATAGTCAGCAAATGTATTTAAGGGGCGCAATTTTCAATACTCATCACTCTTGATACTTAACTCTCGTGATATTTAACTCTCTTGATATTTTACTCTAGATAGTTTTTCTCTTAGTAGTATTCTCGTGATATTAATCTCTTGAAGTGTCTCTCTTTTGATATCTCTTACTTAGTAGTATACCCTTGAGACATTTCATACTCAGTTAAGTTTAGTGAAAGTCCATTTATCGCTGTTACGGGAACAGTAGTTACAAGTCCTGGAGGAACGACGACATGCATCGTATGTCTAGTAACGCAGTTCAAGAAACCGTCGTTACATGTTCAAAGGGAGCGACGACAATCCGCATATCAGAGTCCGAAGACGAGTCAACGATTAGTCTTCGTAAGTACTATTTACTACAATGATTACATATACATTGAAATTCAGAGTATTACATCGACAAGCACTAATGACAAGGAAGCTCCTCTTAAAACGACAGTGCGGAATAAATTCCAGTACGCGTCGTCAAGTTTCGCGCCCGCCAAGGGCATTGCACTTTGTAACCCTCACCTTAGTTCAAGTTCGAAAGCTTATGAAAGTAAGCTAAACCCAACGCAAGTGTAGGCAATCCAGTTTCGCGCCACTTGTGATATCTTTCAATCATAAAGCTGCACTCATAACCTCAACCACACACGTGGTCGTTCGAAAAGCGCTAGTGTCGACGAACGAGACTTCGTGCATTCGCCATTCGTATTCAACATCAAGCTGCATAGATAACTGTACAGTTGTCTCCGCAATACATTACTTCAATCCAAGAGTTAGTTCTACAATTAATAATAGTAATACTAGTCAACCTTGTCATTAATAAATAACAGAATAAATAGCATATACTTCAGCCATATTTATATTGTATTATTATAATATCCCTTCCACTTGTGACCTGTCATCGCTACCACACAACACCCGTGGTCTCTGAGTTGTCAACGGCATCAAATTGTATCCGTCGTACCGGCGTTGATAAAACAAGTCGGAACGACGAGTTGCATTTTGTACAACGTGATTATAAATAAACTTCAATAAATTATTCTGAATAAATACCGCCGTAACAATATAGTTATGTATATTATATATATTTAGCATTCTTCATAATTAGTAATAAACTAATAGTGTTAGTAATGCTACTAAAAACCATCTATATTGATCGTAGTATTTTTAACTTTTTCCCCAACATGGTATTAAAGGTAAAAGAATCGTAGTTCAATTTATATTCGTGATTACTAGCATTTACAATATTTTACAAAAAAATTTATATATAGTAAATATGTAAATTACAAATAGTTTGTTTTATATAAGTGATTATTGACAAAAGTTCAATTGTGTTAAATTACAAAATGAATGATCTTGTTCAAGAATCACGATTAAAAAAGAACAATTCAATGTAATTTTCCTTAAAACAAATCATAATTTAATAGAATGGGACGGAAAATGGAATTAATAAATTAATAAACAATAACAATTATATGTGAGGAGATTCTATTTTTCTGTTGTCATGAATATATCATAACAGGAAAATCTTTTTTTTAATACTTCCAGTATGTATGTATAACAGTTACACAATTTATTTTGGTATTCTTTGATTTAAGTTTAAATTTAACAATTTTGATATCTTTCAGTAATTTATAATATGGAAAACATTGTATTAAAGTTATTTTTATTAAATTTAATAATATATTAGAAATAGTTTTTGAAAAAATATTAATTTATAATTTTAATAATTTTATATAACTTATGTTAGAAGTGAATTCTTCTGATGTTTATTTATATTAAAAAATATATTAAAAGTTTATTTATATCAAATATTATTTATATTAAATGTTTATTTATATTAAAAAATATATTAAAAGTAAAAATTCAAACATTTTCACCAAGATTTTATATTCAAACAAAAATATGAGCATAAATTAAATAAATTATATAAATTGTAACAAAAATGATGATATTAAAGTAAATGCAATAGTGTTATATTTAATTTAGAAAATTATTTATTCAAGAAATTTGAACATTCATTCGGAAATGAAAATTTACGATAGAATAAAAACGTATTTATATAATTAATATAATGATAAAATAATTTATTCATTAATTAATAAAAATAGTAATTGTTTCTTTTTAGAATAAAATACAGATTATATGTTTATACGTTAGCCCATAAAAAGGTATTTACACACTATAGTAATACTATTAAAACATAAAGCAACAATTTAATGTTAAACTTTACTAGTAACATATATTTGTAATTAGCACTGCGTGTTTATAAATTATTCGTTTGGAAATCATAATTATTTTATTTAAATAGATTATCAGTTTTTTTGCTTATTTTTGTATTTATGTCAATTTTTTGAGGAGAAATTTCTTAATATTATAAATATGCGTTAAAATTAATTGAGTATGGAATTAAATTTAGTGTACTAATAAATTGATAAAACTGATAGTAATTTATATATATATATATATAACAAAGTGCTATAATTATATATAGTCGATATAGCAAGTGTAGCTAATTACTATACCACTATTTTAAACTGTTCAATTCTGCATGTGATTTGATGCATAACAAACTTATAACAAGTTGATAAATTTGAATTTTAAAATTGCTGTCCTTGAAACTTTGCAATAAATTCTCATGAAAGATGCTATCTTGTAAATGTTTCATGGTATATTATACAGATATTTATTTACAATTTTGATTTGATAATAAAATTTGTTTTGAATTATTAAAATAAAAATATATATATTGTTAAGTTATAATAAAATATACAATAGTTATATTTCATTATAATAATACATTGTTTATCAATTCGGCGTTACACAATTCTTGGATCGATATGGGCATGTTTTTTAAATTGTGAACCACTAATTAATTTTTTTAAATACAAATAGTTAGAAAATAATAAAATTTCAAATTTAATTATTAGTTATTAAATTATGAAAATTAAGAAAATTAAATTAACACTTTGTTGTTTTATTTTGTAGTGTTCACTTTATATAGTGCTTTCACTGAATATTTATTCGAATAGAATAAATTGTATTCTCCTGATATTAAATGCATATCAGGGTATATAACATTATTCAAACTTTCAATCTTTTTTTTGTGGCAAAAGTAGTTTCTTAATTATAACAAACATTTATTTTAATTAATGGCTGTTAAATTGAAGCTAAGAAATAATCATAATTATAAATTAGTCGGTTTACTGGACTCCTTAGTTTAGTTATTTATACTCTTTTAACATTTGTTACACATTTGAACAATTTAAAAAATTAAACAGTACTTTTAAATAACCTCATTATTTTAGAAAAATTGCTTTGTAATAATAATATTTTATCTGAAAAAAAGTGTGGACCAAAAAATAAAATTTTTTAAATGATATTTATATAAAGAGATAAATAGAAAAGGCAGAGAGAGATTTAAAGGATAATAAAAAGTTATTATTATTATTTTAATAATATATCGTATCATGCGTCAGGTTATAAAGAGTATTTTTATTTTATTATAGAGTTTGCATTTGGCTTTAAGCATAATTTATTCGATGTTTTACCGTTTTACCGTTATGCTTACCAATCAAATTATTTGAAACTTGGTGTTTACATTCACTCATGCATATTATAGATAGATGAATCGTTCAAAGCATTGTATACCTGGAATAATTTTTAGCCTAGATAATTGAATGAATGATACGGATAAAATATAAAAATGTCAAAAATTTATGAAATATTTTATATTAGAATTTTTTCTTGTAATTGAAAGGTTTAATTTTGTTTATTTTAGTTCTAAATAATTCCTATGTACTGAATTTATAGACAGATTTATAACGTGTAACATATAAATTATTATAAGTATTATGGTAACCCAATTTTATTTCAAATGTCAGTAACTAAAAAACGTAAATGTGTGAGTTTTTATTAAATATATTAAAATAAGTTTGAGTGATTGTCAGTTAATAAAATTTATATTTAAATATATAATATTATAAATTGATGTAAGTAAATTTAAATGTAAATTAATTGGAACTTAAGTTATGTTAGTTTTAATTTGTACAAATAACAAAAACGAATGTTTTCTAAGTATTAACGTAATTTTTAAATTAATATTTATACTTTCGATTTTTGATAAAAACAATTTAAATTTAAAAATTTAGAAATTAAGAAGAAAATTTAGTCTAAAAACGTATTAATGTTACAAGTGTAAAACTCGTCATAATTTAATAATCATTTATTAGATAAATTCATAACTATGTTAGTTTAAGAAACATTTCAAATTTATTATTAATTAGAAATAAGAAGCAATTAAAGCATCTCAAAATGGGTATTCTATTTTCAAGGTTCCATGTAAGTAATTTAAAATAATTATTAGTATTATATTATAGAAAGTTGAAATTTCAGGTTACGTTATTATTTGATTTAAATTATGTTAATATAGTCGTATTTAAAAATATTAAAATTTATAAAAATCAACAATAAACTATTTTATATATTAAAAAATCATTATTACTAATATATTTGTAATTCGAGTTTAGCTTTATTTATGTATTTACATAAAATAAGATGTATATAACAAGAACGTATTTGAACGGTTTCATAATGACTAATATTTAATGAACTGTTTCTTTTATCTAAAATTAATAGTAATTATATTATAATTAAGAAAATTATAAAATTGGTTTTGAAGAATTTTTTATTAATAATTGCAATTTAGGGAAATTAAAAAAATACATTATAGATAAAAATTTAATGTTGCTTTTAGTAATATCTTCAATATTTTTAATTCATTATTAATTTTATTAATTATTATTTATAATAAGTAATTAAATATTACTAAGTTATATCATGAAAAATATAGTACTATATTGAATTATTAAAGAATAATTAAGATAAATGAGAAAATATAACAACTAACTGTATTATTAATATAACTTTAATTAATATTTATTCATTATATTTTTAGAAAAAGATAGCTACGATTGAAGTTCTTAATAACCTAGATAAAGTAAGTAGATTTGTTATAATATACTTTATTAGAATGAAAAAAAATTTTATGTATATATTAGTTATCTAATAATGATGTTATATTGAATTTTTAAATAATATCAAACATATTTTATAATTATTTATGAGAGCAGAGAATAAAAGATATTGAACAATATGGACAAAATACAGAACAAAGACACAAAAAAATAGTTGGCACCTTGATCATTTGCAGTGTAATTTTGTATATCATTACAGCAATGATTTTGTATTTTTATTTTTTTCCTGCAAAGATGTGTGATCAATTGCTTTATATTACTTTATTTCTTCTTTTTCCAATTTTGTAAGTAATTTGTAATAAAAAATTTTTTATATACATATTTTGAATATTAATATTTATTTATTAATATTAATCTATTAATATATTAATATATTAATACTCATGTATAACTTATTAGGATATTATTTGCAAAAAATATAGTATCATGGTATTATACAAGAAAAATTTCAAGAAATCAAGAGAAACTTATAACAATGTTACAAGAAAAAAAAAAAATATTGGATGAAGTTACAGAGACCGAAACTTATAAGAAAGCTAAAGAAATATTAATGAAATTTGCACCAGATCAGTTGAAAATAACACCAGTAAATTATAAAAATTATTTAATTTAAATTATTTTTTAAACTATTATTTCATTTGCTTTATATTAATTATTTATTCTATTAATTTAATAAATGTTAAATTCAACTGTTTAAAAGTAGAAAATAAATATATATATCCTTTTTTTCTTAGATGCTTTGTCCACAATCTGTAATTATATCAGATTCACCAAAACTAAGTACTACACAAATGATTGTACCATCATTACAAACAGAAGTAGAATTACGTCGAAGAGCTTTAACTTCATCTAATTTTCCTCAAAATCTTTCAATAAACAGAATAACTCAACCTGAAATAGTAAGAATTACACCTTCACAAACACCATCAACTGTTTATCAAAAAAGTGGTAAATCAATTAATAATATAATGTTTACATGTAGTTTTTATTTTGTTTTTCATTCAATTTATTAAATAAATGCAAATGTTTTATTATTAATTATTAGTGTACATTTTTTAAATAATATATTTTGAATACTGCTATAAAAAATAAATACTTTAGAATCTTCGTTACCCAGACCAATTTTATCTCAACAAAGAAGCTATATTGATCGATTAATAGAATATGTTATTGGTGATGGACCAAATAATCGATATGCTTTAATATGTCGACAATGTGATTCACACAATGGAATGGCATTAAAAGAAGAATTTGAATATTTTGGTATTGTGAAAGTTTTGTTCTCATTCAGAAAATAATTTTTTAATATATTTATTGAAAATTTTTAGCATTCAGATGCTGTTATTGTAACTTTTGGAATCCAGCTAGAAAGCAAAAACCTTCTGCTCCTAAATTAGAGTTTGATAATAACTTAGTAACTCCTCAAAAATTGTCTCTTCAAATTAATAAATCAGTCGACAATTTATTGGATATTTCAAATGAAAATGAAATTATTTCAAATCTATCTGATACAGGTATGTTAGAATATTTTATATATTTTGGAAATGTTATAAATAATAAATAATTTGAATATTTAATATTTAGGTTCAATTTAGTTTAAGTACACACTGTATATTATTGTAATTGTTTATATTATTTTAAAAGCAAATGAATATCAATTATAAAATAGCACAGTAAAGCAATGAAAACTTATAGTTCAAATATAATTTAATTAAATATTTTTTATATTTTTTCGAATGTTTTTTTTTATCTTTAGATTCTGATATAGAAGTTGTAGCACAATCTTATCCAATAGCAGAAAATGAAGAAGATAAATTGAAAAATAGTATAAATAATGACATTGAAATTCCAGGTAATTAATAAATATTTTAGTTTTTAAAGGTTATTTATAAATGCAGTTTAAATTGCACAGTTATTTATAATTTATATATAATATTCTTAGAACCAACAATTACAGAAACAAAAACTAAGCATGACGAAATGAAAAATCAAGAAATAGAGATAGATAAATTATCGATAAGCAATAAATAAATATTACTTTTTATCATTCAATACAAACTTATGTTGCTATTTCTTAAAAAAATAGCAAAAATAATTATATTGCTTAAATATAATTGCAAGTTTTCTAAAGATGTCACAATTCAGAAAACTTATTTTAAGTTTCTTATCAAAACAAACATGAAATCAATTTTTATTGATGTAAAACTGTCTAATACATATCTTTATTATTTATTTCATATTTATTTTTGTATATTATATAATTGATGTTTTGAAATCATAATATAAGAAAAATTGTGATTAAATAATTACCTTTATTGACAAATTTTTATTTATACTAATGAATATTATATTTCAAAATTTGAAGATGGATGAATGAAAATATTTATTATTTTACGATTTTTGATTATTACAAATTTTATAATAGAAGAAAATATACATTTGTTTTCAATTATTTTTATATGTTTCACATCATTGAAAGTTTAAAATAATGAAATAAATTTTAATATTGTAAATAACTAACTTATATAATTATAATTTATAAAATTAAAAAAAATTTGTATTCTCGAAAAAATTAAAAGAATGACTTAAAACTTTAATTATAAATGTAAATCTGCATCAAATATGGATTTGATACATGAATTGTAAAATTATTAAGTAACAATTTTTAAATAAAGATACAATATAAAACAAGATACGATATTAACGAATGTTTTATTTAAAGAAAATCATTTTTTTACACAATATTGACATAGTTGTGCTGTTAAAGAAATGCAATAAAAATATATAAATACATATTTTTAAACTAATAAAACAATTAAATTAATAAATACAATAAAAATGTATCATATGGAATGTTCCAATAATTATTACAATTATAGTAGAAAAAAAGGAAAAATATCTTTATTAAAATTTTAGGCATGTTATAAACAATTAAAAACAACCCTAAGTATTATGATGATGATCTTGAGTAATTTTAATTGTTATTGTTATTGGGATATTACTTTGAATGGATAATATGTTACTAGGAATGAAATTACAAGATACTTTTTAGGATTTTATACACAATACTAAATTCAAGTATGAATAGAAATATGCTGGATCTCAATTAAAATTATATCTCATTTGATCAAATATTTTTTTAAATATTCTTCCTCAAAAATTGGTTGATTTTGAATATTATATTATAAAATAAAAATTTTTTTAGATATTGTTTTATTTTATATAAATTTTCACAGATTAAACCTTATTTAATCCTTTTATTTAAACCTTTTTATGAAACCTATTTTAAGAAATAATAGCCAATTTATTATCTTGAGATAAGCCTATAAAACTTATTTTATAAAAAATTAAAAAATTAAATTTTATTTAATTAAAATTGCATTTGAAGCAAGAATACTCTAGAGTAAGATTCGAAATAATATTCGAAATATAAAAAATATTTTCATAATTTTATAAACTATTTCTGTTTTTCCATTGCCATCATTGTTACAAAACATATTACAAAAAAATTAACGCTTTCGAAATATCTGCTTGTTCAGAGTTGGAGCTATTCCAAGAAATTGAATATTGGGAGAAGTATAAGCCTTCTAACTTTTGTGTTTGTAAACATTGATTCCGCGATTTTCGAATATTCTACGCCTTATTTTCGAGTGTCCTACTATATTTCTGCATAGCAACGTCGTTTTGAATTCTATAAAATTTGTAGAGCCTTGCTTTTCTAGAGTTCTCGAAAGTTCTAAAGCTTTGTCTCTGGTGTAATGTAAGTCTATCGGCATAGCAACACCTGTAAGTAAAAATAGCACCTAATACAAAGGCACCTCTCTAATTGTGCGACAAGCACCAAGCCAGAAAAGGCACCTCTCTAATTGCGCGACAAGCACAAAGCCAGCAAAGGCACCTCTCTAATGGTACAACAAGCACAAAGCCTGCAAAGGCACCTCTCTAATTGTGCGACAAGCATAAAGCCAGAAAAGGCTCAAATGAGAACTCAATACGTTACCATCACGTGGCATTACACGAAGAAGTATTAGATATCTACGACCAAGCACACTATGTTAAGAGGATCCGGAGTTTACGACCTCCTACCTCAATATGTAGTGCATGCTAACGCCATGTGGCAACTACCACCGAACTGCAAGATCTTACCAATCTCAACACCATCTTAGAATCATTATTATTGTGTAGTTTGTAAAATAAAAGGCAATAAACAGCACGATAAGCAAATGTATGTAATTATTCAATAAATGCACTATCCCTTCCACTTGCCCGCACTTCTTTCCCCCACCAGGCAACTGGTGGTCATAGTCTAATCCAATCCTTTTAGTCTTTTGACCACCGGATAATGGAATTCTAAACACTGCTTTTTAAAGAAGTAGAAAAAGAATACTTTTATGTAAAACGAAACATTAAACCTCTCATTATCTAGGGACTCTAAAATAAATTCTACAAAAGTCAATATATTTAAATAGAAATAATTTCAAGGACAGCTTACCCTCAAAATTTTTGATTTTTATAAAACAAAATAATTTTTTTATTTTTCCGATTAGGGAATCAAATTTTTTCAATCGTTTATAATATATTATTCAATTAGTATGACATTTTTATTTTTAAAATTAATTTCTCGTAATTGTCATTTATTAATATACTTAATATATTTAATTTAATTCAATTTACTAAATGTATATTTTAGAACAAAATAAATTTTTATACAAACTACAAATAAATTTTATAGCCCAGATTATGATGTTATTGAAATTTTTTAACAAAAAAAAATATATATATAGTAATTAATCTTCAACTTTTTTTTAGTTTATGTTAATATATAAAAAATATGATTCGAATTTATAAAATCAAATTTATCTCTTAATATTGTTACTTTTTAAATTTTATTTGCTATATTTTTTTCATATTCATAGATTAGAAATTAAATCATAAATAATTATTTTTCAATTTAATTCAGTAATTTCTATATAGTAATTAAAAAATTAGAAATACAATATTTTTATATAAGTATAAGAAATTTCTAATATTAATTTAAATTATTCTACTAAATCAATATTATTAATATTAAATAAATATTTATTTTTTATTAAATGAGATCAAATAATATAAATATTTCCTAATTATAAAGTTGATTATGTTCAGTTATTTCTTTATTTTTTCTGGATTTATTTTTTCTTTGAATAGAATTTGTTCTACAGCAGTCATATTGTTAAAAAAATAATTCCACAAATCTGACTCGTCAGCCAAACGTACAAAATCAACTTAGAACAAAAAAACACTAGATGTTGTGTGGGAAATGGGTTAATACACTGATTCAATAATTAACACATCATTATTACTGCTGTTTATTCCATTTATTTCACTTTATTTCCAAGTTGGAATTATTAACCGTGATGAAATTACAAATAATCTTTATATTTGTTAATAATCTTGTGGCGTTGAGATATCCTTTTATTGGAGAACTAGAAGTTGATCAATTTCTTATTCTTAGCATATAACTGGTGAGATTATGATTTACTGTAAAAAGAAATAGGTTATAATCTATTGAATATTATCACTTTTGAGGTTATGGTTGTTGTAGTGCTCTGATCGAACACTACAATCTTATTGTGTTTGAACTCAACACGTGTGCAGTTGCCTCTAAATAATGGGTCGTGTAAGAGTCTAAGATAGAGGTTATGCGAAGCTGGCACAACTGATCATTGCTGCGATGTGCTCTTACAGTGTGGCGCGAATTGCTGTTCATTGGAAGAAATGAAAAACCACTGTGTGGCGTCAATAGATGATCGTTGCAAAATGTACGCTACCAATGTGGCGCGATTCGCTGATCGCTGGAGGAAATGAAAAGCCACTGAGTAGCGTCTATAGCTGGTCTTGTTTTTAGAGTATGCCTGGGAAGCTTCAGTAGTCGGACCTTTAGCTGTCCGTTGTCAAAGTAAAGCCGAGATATCAAGAATCAGTACTACCGGTAAGGACTTACTTGCAGTGTATCGTGAATTTTCCAGTCTCTCTTCGTTGGCTTCGATCGACCAGATGTGGCATAGTCAAGAACAATTGAAGCAGTCTTAAAGGCCGAGTGCGCACGTACGACTATTGCAGGTTGTTGCACGTGCGGGGTTTTTGGGTTGCAGTGAATTTAGGAAATGTTTTGTACTCGATGCTTTACGCATATCTGATATTCGTTCCAAATCTACTTTGGGGTTCTCCTGACAATAAACCCATTAAGTTCTACTGCAGTGGAAAGCATGAGAACGTTTCACTGGAGTTTTCCAGATGTTTTATGACACTAGTGCTAAATAATTGTGAGCAGGAAAGTTTTGAAATCTTAAATACAAATGTCATGATGTTACTTGCCAGATGTTTTATTGCATTGAAAAGGGGTCTCGCATTCTCGAACACATATTTATAACAGTGAAATTATTAATCAACTTAGTTATCAATATTGATTTTAAAGTACTTGTAATTTTTATTTAATAAATAATATATTTAATTTTGATATATTTTGTAAATAATATATAAGCGATTAAATAAATTTTTATTAAAATTAACCTGATGCTATATTATTGTTCCATTCAAAATATATTTTTAAATTTGTATTTATTAAATGTATATAAAAATAGTATTAATAAATATCGTGTAATTACCTTGTGAAACTATTTGTACTTTGAATATTAGTATATAAATACATAAATATATAAATATAAAACAAATATATAAATTTTAAACTAATGGTTGTTCCCGACCCAACCAAAATTCAATTTAGATAAATTGATCCATTAAATGTAATCAAATATATTAAGAATACATGCATTTTAAAGGTTCGCTTTTTATCTGTGTAAATAAATGTAATCCACATTTATAAAGCTACATAAGCAAGTAAAAATGGCTACTGTTCGAGAATGTGAGACCTTTTTTCACTGCAATATAACATATGGAAAAATAACGTCGTAGAATTTGTGTGTAGATTTCAAAACTTTCTTGCTCGCAACTATCTAGCAATAGTGTATAAAACATCTGAAAAAATAATACAATAAACACGAAAAAACCCACTCAGTTAGGCATATGTACGAATTCGCTCCGATCGGTAATTACTTCAGGCATTATGTCAAGCGGACCTATTCCCTCTTCCCCCTGTCTATAAGGTGTCATACTGTCGCCTGATGCATCAGCGGCAACGAGAGCTCTTCTTGCCGTGAAGACCAAGAGACGACTAGAAAACGACTGGAAAAGGTGTATAAGGTGCACCACACCTAATTACATAAAAGATAGTAATTCAAAGGCAAGTACACGACCCAATAAGCTACTATCAACACCGTTGATACTATGACCTGACGAGAAGGTGCAGTCATCACTCAATTAAACTCCACCAAGGTTACCTACCCTGTTGGACTGCCATGGCTAAAATTAGTTCACCATCGGTTACAGTAGAAGCACGTCTTCGAATTTACAATGGCTCGCAAGTCAAGGAAGCTCAAGGAAATCAAACATTGCATCAACGGTCTGTCATTGCCATTCATGGAATTGGAGAATCTATCGCAACACAGGCTAAGGTGCGTATCATTCACACTCCAATCAATGAAACTAAGAAGTCCCGAGGAGCATCGAACGTCAACCTAACCCTGATGAGCAATGGTGTGAGGATCATTCAAGGAAACTCATTGTCGGGACTCATCAAGGGTCTACATCGTCCAACTTCAATGAAGAAGTCAATCGAACTCCTCGGCGACTCTTACACCGCCGCACATCAATGCCTGCAAGGTTTGGTAACACGCTTTGCGAGAGATAAAAAATATCGCCAATATCAAGTACGCATGCAGACAAATGACGACCGCAACCACACGATCAGAGCTTCTCCAGAATCCCAAGACAAACCACTGTATTATCTACCTCATCGATATCTCTCTTCAACAGATATAATAAAAATGTATACGCAGATGACAGTCCAAGAGGATGATTGGAATCTACAAGGAATTTTATGGACAGACAAACAAAATATCAAAGTGCCATGCCAGTTGACAACAGTCACACATGGTATGCGAGCCGGCTTATTGCTAGCAGTAAGAACACTGCCACAATTCTTAGAAAATGAAGGAGAGAAAGACGCTTTTATACTACCTTCCATTACTCATGGAACAAATGTCGACGATATTATTGGAGGTGCGGACACGCAGCAGGAACTTGCTGAAATGGCGCTACGACTGCAGAACCTCTGTACAGTGGGCGGTTTCCCTGTAGCAAATGGCACTCAACACTTAAGGACGTCCTCACCACCATAAAGGCAGACTAAAGATATCAAAACAGGAAACAAATGAACATAAGCAGGAGGAAGGAAACCTAAGCTCAGCCACACACGTGCTCATTCAAACAGCGCTATGTGGACGAACGAAACTTGGCGCCATTCTACATTCACATTCAAACCATCAAGCTGCGTAGATGAGCATACGTTTTCCACCGCAAACACATCACTTCCACCACAAGAATTATTTCCATAATTAATAATAGTAATACTAGTCAACCTTGTCATCAATAAATAACAGAATAAACAGCATATACATCAGCCATACTTGTAATGTATTATTATAATATCCCTTCCACTTGTGACCTTTCATCGCTACCACACAACACCCGTGATCTCTGAGTTGTCAACGGCATCAAATTGTATCCGTCGTACCGGCGTTGATAAAACAAGTCGGAACGACGAGTTGCATTTTGTACAACTTATTATATTTTTATTCGTTTTTTTATTATTTTTTTTTATTTCTTTCAAATATTCTCTTTATCATTTCAGAAGCTATATTAATTTCAATATATAAGAACATAAAATAACATGC